CCGATGTACTTGTAGCACCTCCCGATACATATTTACCACTTATCCAAAACTTGAGCTATTAGAAAAAGGAGCACATATATTTACTTAAGTGTTGTGTTCGAGGCCACCAGTAGAACAAGAAATGATCAAATAATGAGTTGAAATCGAATCAATTCCGGTGATGATGTTGATCTTGATTCTTAATTGCATGACTAAGGTTACTGCTTCAAGTATTATTAGTTAGTAAACTGGATCTTCAATCGTAGTTTTGATTTGAGATAATTTGATTGACGGAAAGTGCCCAAGCACGAAGCACATGGCGCCTGCTTTGCTTTGCTTCCCCTCATTTTATATTCAAAGTTCATGTTTTGATGAAGCAGAATAAAAGCCCAAGTGTGCAGGCAACAAGGAAGAACTTTATCAAACTACTGTTTTCTTCTTAGTGTGTTAAGAGGTGCCGGAAACAGAATCAATTGCTGAAACACACAAGGGAAATCTTTCACGCAAGTACTTCAAGCTTTAACTAACTTGAAAATTGAAAAAGAAAAACATCATTTCCCTCACTCCAGTTTTGCTCAAATTATTGTCGAGAAGTTATTTACTGCAATATGAAAAAGAAAAAAATCATTTCCCTCACTCCTGTTTTGCTCAAATTATTGTCGAGAAGTTATTTCCTGCAATTTCAAGGAAATTAATGTTGGAAATGTTTTATGAATGTCGCTCTCTAAAAGCTTGTGCCTCGAGTGCTTAAGGTCTACAAGGTCTTAGTGCCTCGGTGCACTTTGTGCATTTGGTACTGTGGGCCTCAATTAGTGTTACCAATTTAAATGATGTTAAACTCCATAAATTCAGGGCTCAAACTGATTTTTATTTTTTGGGGCTGCTGCTTGTTTCCATTGTGGATAAAGTAATCTTCATTGGAAGTCAATGTTCTACATGTTTGGCATTCAATATTTTGGTTAAGTACGACAAATATTATTCTCAAAGTTTGAAATCTCTGAAATATTTTTCTTCAAGATTGTTGAAGTTCATGGGAAAAAATGCAGATCTTTTATTAAGCCCCTGTTTGACTACCATTTATACAAAACTCCTTTATCTCAAACTCATTTTTTATCACACATTCTCAAAATAAAACATTCTGAGCAACACAAAATTTTTTCTTACTTTTTACCGANTCTTACTTTTTAACCACATATTCTCTAATAAAATACTATTTCAAAACTCATTTTCCCCAAAAAAACTCTGTTTAATTGTTGTTAAACAGGGGCTAATTGTGCCCATATCTTAAACATTAGCAAAGAGTTCTGTCCCAAGTAGTCTTTTGGCCCCAATTTTTTTTCTTCCCTAATTTTCATTGCACTAGATGAAGGATCTGAATTTAAAATTTTAAGTTTCATGGATGGTCAATGTATTTTGAGTGACTAGCATTAGTTATTGGTGCTTAATTACTTAGTAACATGTCTTGTATGATTATAATATTCTGATAAGATCACTCTGTAAGAATACTATTCTTTTGCAGGTTAAACTTTGTGGCCATGCAACATTAGCAGCATCCCACTTTCTCTTTACTTTTGGTTTGGTGAATGCTGATGTGATCGAGTTCACAACACTGTCGGGGATATTGACTGCAAAGAGAATACCTGACGTTAAGGCTTCAGATTCATCACACTTTCAGAACGGTGATGCATCCGAGACCTGGCTCATTGAACTAAACTTTCCTGTTGTCCCAATAATGGAATACGATTATGCAACCGATGTTTCAGCAATTTCTAAAAGCTTGAATGGTGCTTCTGTGATGGAGATCAAGAAGACCTCTACTGACCTCCTTGTGAGTATTCTAATTTAATCTTCTGTTACGGCGTGTTTGTAAGGTAGACTCAATAGTACTAGACAATATTAAGAACGAAATAGATGTTAAAATCACGTTCAATGCATGAGCAAACAAACCATTACATTGTGGTTATGCAAATTTATATTAAGCATATGTTTGTAATGGAACTCATTAATGATAGGGGGGCAAATAGTGAAGTAGATGTGGTATATATTATAGGTCAGTCGATTACCCGAGGAAAGGAAGGCCCATTTTTTTCACTAAAAAGATGGAAACAAATCAAAGCAAATGACTGATTTTTCTTTTCCTATTATATGAGATTTATACTTGTTATATTTTGACAGGTTGTGCTGCCATCAGGGAATGCAGTTGCAGAAGTAGAGCCACAATTTGGCGAGATAAAAAATTGTCCGGGTAGAGGAATTATAATTACAGGACCTGCTCCTGCTGGTTCGGGATTTGACTTCTTTAGTCGCTTTTTCTGCCCAAAACTAGGTATCGATGAGGTAATATGCTGGATTTTCATCAAAAGATTGAACAACTTTAATCTGCCTGCATTTATGCCAATAATCATCCATTATATATGTACTTTCATGCTCTACAGTATAATTATGATCACTCAAGGCATTAAACCATCCAGTGAAAATTCATTATAAAATTTTTTGCCTTTTCATCTTGTTACCACGTTCTAGCTATCCATATCGTATGCTCGAATGTTGTAGCATGGAGACGGGAAAAAAAGAACATTTATTAGGTGATTTAGTGCGTCTTTGAAATTTTTCGTGCTCCTTCAGTTGCTTTCAAGTTCTATGAAGTTGATTCTCAAGGTGGTTATGTTGGGAATTGACACCAATTCC